CCCCATCTCTATTAAAAATACAAAATTAGCCAGGCATGGGGATGCACGCCTGTAATCGCAGCTACTTGGGAGGCTGAGGCAGGAGAATCGCTTGAACTGGGGAGGCAGAGGTTGCAGTGAGCCGAGATCACACCATTGCATTCCAACCTGGGCAACAAGAGTGAAACTCCATCTCAAAAAAAAAAAGTTAAAGGCCAGCCTGGGCACATGACAAAACCTCAACCTCCTACAAACAGTACCAAAATTAGCCGAGCATGGTGGCATGAATCTATGGTCCCAGCTACTTAAGAGGCTGAGGTGGAGAATCATCACTCAAGAGGTGGAGAATGCAGTGAGCCAAGATCACGCTACTGTACTCCAGCCTGGGTGACAGAATGAGACCCTGTCTCAAAAAAATAATAAAAATAAAATAAAATAAAATATAAATAAGCCTGAAAGCCATGAAGCCAAAAACAATAAATTTCTGCCGAAGAAAACTGTGTATAGATGTTGTATATGACTTCACAGGATTTACAACAGAGCCAATCAAGTATCATTAAAAAGATTATGAATATGACCAAAAAAAAGTGGGTCATAGGATGAAGAGTTTCAAGGTATGGATTTTGGAGAAATTTAAGAGCCAGCAGGACACCACACCAGAGTAAATTAGCAGGAAGACAACTTGATGGAGATGAATACTTCTGAACCAGTGCCAGGCAATGAGGACTATGTAGAAGTAGCAGTACCAGAAAACAAATTGACATTAGACAGGTTGGCAGAAGGGTTCCAGTTATTCAAGACTGCTTTTCACTTCTTTTTATGTCAGAACTATTCTGTGAGACGAGCCACTTTAACTAAAGTAAACAGGAAGAAGGATTGGTACCTGTGATAGAAACATTTTTAGAAAATGAGACATAAAAAGCTGACAAATTACCATGGGCTTGTAAAGTTACTTAAGAGTGCTCTGCCTCCCTTCAAATTTTCACCTCCACTCTCTCTTCCTTCTTCTTTGCCACCCTTGAGATGGCAAGACTAACCCCCTCCTGTTCCTCCCTCGCCCTCAGCCTACTCAACAAGATAACAAGGATGAAGATCTTTGTGATGATCCACTGCCACTTAATGAACAGTAAATGTATTTTCTCTGCCTTTTATGATTTTCCTTAACATTTTCTTTTTCTTTTAGCTTACTTTATTAAGAATACAGTATATCAGTGGTCCTTAACCTTTCTGGCACCAGGGATCGGTTTTGTGGAAGACAATTTTTCCACATCCTTGGGGGTAGGAGGATGGTTTGGGGATGATTCAAACACATTGCATTTATTGTGCACTTTCTATTATTACATTGTAATATATAATGAAATAATTATGCAGCTCACCATAACGTGAGAGTCAATGCGAGGCCTGCTTGTTTTCCTGCAACTAGATGGTCCCATGTGGGTGATGGGAGATAGCATAGGTCATCAGGCATTAGATTCTCTCACAAGGAGTGCACAATCTAGATCCCTTTGCATGCTTAGTTCACAATAGGGTTCGTGTTCTATGAGACTCTAAGGTCACTGCTGATCTGACAGGAGGTGGAGCTCAGGCAGTGCAATGGGCAGCAGCTCTTAAGACAGATGAAGCTTCGGCCTTACCTGCCACTCACCTTCTATGCGGCCCGGTTCTAAGAGGGCAGACCGATACCAGTCTGTGGCTCAGATGTTGGAGAGACCCCTGCAGTATATAATACAAAAGCAAAATACATGTTAGCTGTTTGTGTTATCAGTAAGGCTTCTAGTCAATAGTAGGTTATTAGTAGTTAAGTTTTGGGGGCATCAAAAGTTACATGCGGATTTTGACTACACAGGGTTGGCAGGGCTTGGTACCCACTAACCCTTTGTGTTTGAGGGTCACCCGTACATCTCTGCACGTGTCCTTTTTGTATGTGACCATGTTTGATAGTTCATTTAGATTATATGTTGTCGTCGTTGTTGTTTGAGACAGGGTCTTGCTCTGTCACCCAGGCTGGAGTACAGTATTGTGATCATAGCTTATTGCAGCCTCCACCTCCTGCTCAAGCATTCTCCTGCCTCTGGGGCCTCTCGAATAGTTGGGATTATAGGCACATGCCACCACACCTGGCTAATGTTTTTGTGTGTGTGTGATACGTGGTCTCGCGATACAGGGGCTGGTCTTGAACTGAGTTCAAGCGAGATCCTCTCACCTCAGCCTCCCAAAGTGCTAGGATTACTGGCGTGAGCCACCACCACATTGCCTGCTAAGATCCTTTAGGGGTATAGGCACAAACCCACCCAATACAGCTTAAACCAGAGGCAATCCAGGGATGTCTCAGAACTTACAAATACATACAGCTAGCACCAGAAACTAAGGCCCCAGCTCTAGATTATATCTATATGTAAAATTGCTGTAGTGTAGGCACCTCTTGACTTTACTAGAAATTACCAAATTATTCTCCCAGTAGTTGTTCCAGTTTATATGCTACCAACATATGTTGATTCTTATGGGGCATGGTGGCTCACGCCTGTAATTCCAACACTTTGGGAGGCCGAGGCAGGTGGATCACTTGAGGTCAGGAGTTTGAGACCAGCCTGGACAACATGGTGAAACCCCATCTCTACTAAAAATACAAAAATTAGTGGGGCATGGTGGTGGTACTTGTAGTCCCAGCTACTCAGGAGACGGGCAGGAGAATTGCTTAACCTGGGAAGAAGTGGAGGTTGAAGTGGGATGAGATCGTGCCACTGCACTCCAGCCTCAAGGGCAATAGAGTAAGACTCCATCTCGTAAACCAAACCAAACAAACAAAAACAGTATATGTTGTTCTTATTTATTTCTCTGCATCCTGGCCACTACTTGGCATTATCTAACTTTAAGTTTTTGCCATTGTGGTGTGTATGAAATAGTATTTTATTGAATTTAATTTCCATTTTCCTGTCTGTTTAGTGAAGGTAATGTCTTCTTTTCTCTTACCATAGCACTTATTTGTTTCTTTTATAGTAAATTTTACTGCTAGCGTTTTCATTATTATGGGTGGGTTTGTTTCTGTGTCTATTGTGTGCCTCCCCATCTGAACATAATCTTGGGGAAGGCTGGGATCACATTTCTCAGGTTTACTGTTTTATCCCCACAGCTCAGTCTAGGGTCTGGCATGGAGTGGCATTCAATAAATACATGTTTAATGAATGAACCAGGGTCGGAAAGTGAGTGCTTTAATAAGTCTGACATTATTGTAAGAGAAATACAGAAATAGGAAGTTATTTCTTTATCTTCCCCCTATCCAAACCTTATACTTTATTTATTTATTTATTTATTTATTTTTTTGAGACGGAGTCTCAGTCTGTCGCCAGACTGGAGTGGTAGTGTCACAATCTTGGCTCACTGCAACCTTCACCTCGGTTCAAGCAATTCTTGTGCCTCAGCCTCCCAAGTAGCTGGGATTACAGGCACCTGCCATCATGCCTGGCTAATTTTTGTATATTTGTAGAGACAGGGTTTCACAATTTTGGCCAGGCTAGTCTTGAACTCCTGACCTCAGGTGATCTGCCCTTCTCGGCCTCCCAAAGTGCTGGGATTACAGGTGTGAGCCACCGTGTTTGGCCTGTACTTTATTTCATAGCCAGTACACAGTACCTTATTCTAGTCTTCATTTTTACGCTCATTTTTCAAGGCTTTGAATATACTTGACTAGGAGGTAGTAGTAATAGAAAATAACAGAAATATTGAGTCACGCATACCATTTGATAGGGATGGCTATCAGCTCCAGCTCACGGCCTGTAATTTGAGATATATTGATGTCCAATTAGCCTGAGATTATATTCTGTGGCCCACATCAGAGAAACCAAAGCTCTGATGAGGTTCATTATTAGACAGGAAATTAAACTGAAGCGCTTTGTCTTTTTGGGATTCTCATTGACAGAGTGAATCTTGTCTTGCCTAATGTAAGACTTTCTGAGACAGTTACAGGCTTCATCAACAGAAATTCACTAGGACAGATGGTAATTTTTTTTTATTTTGAGAAACAAACTTCTGAGCATGACTAGAATAAATCTCAGTTAATCCTTTCTGTAGTCCCTTTTTTTTTTTCCCACCCAACTACTCTTATAAGTGCATCTACTCTCAGCAGCTCGCATCCTTTGTCTGCTTTATTCAGTTCCTGAGCTGTGGCTACATCTTTAACCATTGGCTTGGTTAAGATCTTTAGAGTAGAGGGTACAAACTCACCCAATATAGCTTACACCAGAGGCAATCCAGGGATGTCTTAGAACTTACAAGTACACACAACTAGCACCAGAAAGTAGAGTAGTGGAAATGCCTACTAAAAGCTCTCAAGTTGATTCCTCTTTTCAAGAGAAGAGCCAAGCTGAAGTTAGAATCTCTTAGTTCCAATTACAAATATCTAGGGAAAGATACTGACTCAGCATGGGCCAGATGTGTCGCTGACTCCAGTAAGCTGTGGCATAAGGTTGCCCACAGACATGGTAGCCAAGACCCACCCCTGTAACGTGTGGATGACACAATCCTAGGCAGATACACACATAGGTGTCTAGTGAAATTATCTTCTGAAATTAATTATAAATTTTCTTGAATGATGTTCAGAAGCTCTGAAACCTCTCACTTGGGTACCCAGCAACTTCTTCATATCTTCCTCCATTTCCCTTTTATTTTATTTTATTTTTTGAGATGAAGTCTCACCTGTCACCAGGCTAAGAGTGCAGCAGCATGATCTCACTGTACCTCTGCCTCCCAGGTTCAAGATTCTCCAGCCTCAGCCTCCCAAGTAGCTGGGATTACAGGTGTGTGCCACCACAGCCGGCTGCTGATTTTTTTGTATTCTTTTAATAAAGAGTAGGGTTTCATCATGTTATCCAGGCTGATCTCAAAGTCCTGACCTCAAGTGATCCACCCACCTCAGCCTCCCAAAGTGCTGGGATTACAGGCATGAGCCACTGCGCCCGGCCACATGTAGTTTATTAATGTGTCCTGCCCCAGCTAGTGGGAAATGGCGGTAAAGCAGGTATTGAAAAACTTTGGCAACCTGGAAGTTCATTCTGCTTTTTCTGAGACCTTACATTATCTTGTTACAGGAACATGACATAGAAACAACTCATGGTGTGGTCCACGCCACTATAAAGAGGCTTACCCAAAGGAAAACAGACCAGTTATACTAACGTAGCCATGACATTGGCCTCAGCCGTATGTATTTGATTTTACACCTTCCCTTCTTATCATACTTGATCTTTGTATATTAAAAACCAAACAACAATAATATTCTAATAGAGCAGAGGTTTTCCCCTCTCTGTGGTAACCTTCCCTCCTTGTTCATTTGTTAATGGTATAAAGTTCCTGGGAAGTGTGCAGGGGAATATATTTTGGGGATACTGAATCATCTCGCCTTCATGTCTGCTAAAGGATTGAAGATTATACAATGAATTGCTTAAGAAAGTAGAACTCAAATCCATGTTTTCAAGCCTGTACTTTGTTTTTTTGGTTGTTGTTTGTTTGTTTGTTTCAGGTTAGAAAATTGAGAGTTGGAACTTAACTTTGTTGTGAGCTCTTCAATGAATTCGTAAAAGAGTTCTTGCTAGAGTCTGTCACCAGTGACTTTAAGTGGACTTTTCTAGATGGTAGTGTAAGATTCTTGCTCTGTGCATGGACATACAGAGTCTGCATACATGTGTCCACGCTGCTCTGGCTTTCATAAATGCCCCATTTGAGGCTACAGTTGAGTGTTAAAGCTTTTGTAGCTGCCTTGGCATGAGAAGTGATTTAAGCAGGTGTACAAAGAGGGTAGAAGTGGAAGCAGCAGCCCCTCCTGCACTTCTGGGTGGCAATTTTGCCGAGAGGCAAACTCCCATTAGGTGAATGTGAGCAGCTCAGGACATTCACTCCACCTGTGCTCTTGGGATATAACTGTGTCTCTTTGAGAGATATGAGGAATAATGTCTCATGAGAAATGACAGCATTATGGGTGTAAGATTATTTTGTACAATAATCGAAGCCACTGAAACATTAACAAAGTACTTCTACTTTGCAGACATTATTTAGAATTGAGAATTATTTTCAATATGTATCTCAATATGAGATGTCTTATATTCAGCCTTTAGGGCAGCTTGAATCAGACAGATTGTTCAGACACCTCACTTTGGTGGGTTGGTGGTTAAAAAGCAGTGAAAGGAGGTGATGATAGGCATTGACTGAGTGGAGGAAAATTGAGGAGATACGGAGAGCCTGTGACTTACGGGTATTTTTATTCTTATAGATAAATCCTGTTTCAATGCATTCTTTAACTTTGAGGATATGCACGAGATCACCCAGCACTTTGCTGTCTGTCATGTGGATGCCCCAGGCCAGCAGGAAGGTGCACCCTCTTTCCCAACAGGGTAAGGCCACAAAAAGATCATCTGGGAGATAAGCACTCAGAGCAACTGGCTGAGCTCCAATGGGAGAAGTGGTTTGAAGCTCTTTGATTTTATTACAGTCTATAGGTTAAGTACTTATTGACCATCCATCCTCATATTTTCTCTCCTTGGGCTCAGAGGACTGGTATTTACAGTTTTTTGGGGGAAACTGTATGTTTTCCCATATCCAGGAATGGCTCTCCGTAGGCAGGTGTGCCTGCTTTCCCTGTAATCTCAAGGCATAAGTATCTGGAACACCTACTTCTCACTGTCTTTATCTTTCCTTCTTTATCTATTTGAAAGCTGTCAGTTTTTAGCTGTAGATGTGGTGACTCACACCTATAATCCCAGCACTTTGGGAGGCTAAGGCAGGAGGATTGCTTGAGCCCTGGAGTTCAAGACCAGCCTGGATAGCGGGCCGGGTGCGGTGGCTCATGCCTGTAATCCCAGCACTTTGGGAGGCCAACAGGCGGATCACGAGGTCAGAGATCAAGACCATTCTGGCTAACGGTGAAACCCCATCTCTACTAAAATACAAAAAATTAGCTGGGTGTGGTGGCGGGCGCCTGTAGTCCCAGTTACTCAGGAGGCAGAGGCAGGAGAATGGCCTGAACCCGGGAGGCAGTGAGCTAAGATCAGCCACTGCACTCCAGCCTTGGCATGGAGGAAGAGACTTCGTCTCAAAAAAAAAAAAAAAAAAAAAACAAGAAAAAAAAAAAAGACCAGCCTCGATAACATAGGGAAGACCTTGTCTCTACAAAAATTTAAAAATTAGCCAGCCAGGCATGGTGGGGGTCGCTCACCTGTGTTCCCATCTGCTTGGGAGGTTGTGGTGGGAGGATCACTTGAGCCCAGAAGATTGAGGCTGCAGTGCCTGGGTGACTGAACAAGACCCTGTCCCCAGAAACAAAACAAAACAAAACTGTAATTTTTGTGTCCTTCCTCGAACTCCCAACTACCCAGGCCCAAATTCAGATCCTCCTGAGCTTTCCTGGGAGCATCTCCCCATCCTGATAATGGAAATTTGACTCTCAATCTGATAATGGAAATTTGACTCTCAATCTGATAATGAAATTTGGATAATATCTGTGTAACTATTTATTCTGAGAGGCTGTCCTGGCAGATAGAGGTGTGGGCCGATTGATTGGCTTTGCACTTCAGCTTCCTCCTACGCCTGCTTTGCAGGGCAGAGTTACAGCTCCCTACTCTGTTTGTTCCTGGACGGTGTGCTTATCGAGAAGACCTCAGAGGAGTGAGCGCACACACTGGAATGCTAATTCTTCTCTCCTCTCCTTTCACTCATCTCCAGAGTTGTTTTGCCAGACTGCTGGGAAATAGACAATTGCAGACAAATAATAGCTAATACTTAAATAGTACTCAAACCATGTTCCAGACACTGCTTTAAATGCTTTGCTATTTGTTAACTCATTTACTCCTCATAACCTTATGGGATAAGTTTACTATTATTCCCATTTTATAAAATGAGGAACTGAGGCCCAGAAAAATTAAGTAACATGGCTAACATTACATAGCAAATAAGTGGCAGAACTAAGATTTGAACCCCGACAGTCTGGTGCCAGAATCTGTGCTGTTCTGACTCTATAATGCAAATTGGCCAGTGGTCAGTTTATATCCAGCAAGATTTGGATCCAGTTCCTTTTTTCTATTTTGTGCACAAATGGTTCCACATCCCTATGTTCAGGCAGAGGCAGGCTGACTTCCCTGTCAGATGTAGAACAGATATTGCCTCATATATAAGTGGTCATCTTAGGATCAATTCCATCTTCTGACTGTAATCGCTTTTTTTTTTTTTTTTTTCTTTTTGAGATAGGATATTGCTTTGTTTCCCAGGCTGGAGTACAGTGGTGTGATCATGGCTCACTGCAGCCTCAACCTCCTGGGCTCAAGTGATCCTCTCATCTCAGCATCCCTACTAGCTGGGACTACAGTACCCAACACGCCAGCTAATTTTTGTATTTCAGCACGTCTGCCATTGTATTTTCTTTTTTTTTTTTTTTTTGAGACGAGTCCCACTCTCTCACCCAGACTGGAGTGGCAAGATCTCCGCTCATTGCAAGCTCCACATCCCGGGTTCACACCATTCTCCTGCCTCAGCCTCCCAGGTAGCTGGGACTACAGGCACCTGCCACCACTCCCGGCTAATTTTTTGTGTTTTTAGTAGAGACGGGGTTTCACCGTGTTAGCCAGGATGGTCTCGATCTCCTGACCTCGTGATCCGCCCTCCTCGGCCTCCCAAAGTGCTGAGATTACAGGCGTGAGCCACCGCGCCCAGCCAATTTTTGTATTTTCTGTAGAGACAGGGTTTTGCCCTGTTGCTCAGGCTGGTCTCGAACTCCTGGGCTCAAGCAATCTGCTTGCCTCAGCCTCCGAAAGTGTTGGGATTACAGGCGTGAGCCAACGCTCCCAGTCAGATGCTTACTACTTTTCTAAGAATTCTGATCTGGGTCTGTTCCTGGGCTTGCTTGAACATCTTAGGATCAGATGGGTCATACTATGAACCAAATTCAAAAACAGTAAAATAACCATGCCAGACACAGTGGCTCACACTTGTAGTTCTAGCACTTTGTTAGGTTGAGGTAGGAGGATCACCTGAGACCGGGAATTCAAGACCAGCCCTGGCAACATAGCGCGACTCCATCTCTACAAAAAATTGAAAAATTAGCCAGGCGTGGTGGCACGCGCCTGTAGTCCCAGCTACACAGGAGACTGAGGCAGGAGGATAGCTTGAGTCCCGGAGTTCAAGGTTATAGTGAGCTGTGATTTCACCACTGCACTCCAGCCTGGGTGACAGAGTGAGACCATGTCTCTTAAAAATTTAATAATAAATTTTAAAAAATAACTATATTATTCTATGCCTAAGTGAAACAAATAGGCATTCATGCTAGGGTTTGTAACTGTGTGCCCATAACTAGAAAACCTTTGTTTATTTTTGCATTTAGTTGTCTAAATATAGCAGTAGACCAAGACCCACTTACTGAGTTGACTCTTACTGCCAGAGGTTTACTGAGCCTGGACTCCAACTGAAGTGATTGTTAGAGGTTTGGAAATACCCTAAGAGAGAACCGTGTTACTTATTCTTTTCATGTGGCACCCTCTGGTCCCAAGGGCTGCTCGTTAGGATATAGAAACAGTGGATTCTTTTACTTTCTCCTTAGCATGGCAGTTGTAGAGATTTACACAATATGCCACAATCATTTTCAGGTACCACATCACCTCCTTTGAGCCTTTGGTAAAAGGAAATGCTTTTATCTAAGACTTCTTTTTTTTTTTTTTTTTGGAGGGGGGCAAAATTTCGCTCTTGTTGCCCAGGCTGGAGTGCATTAGCGTGATTTCTGCTCAATGCAACCTCCACCTCCCAGGCTCAAGCGACTCTTCTGCCTCAGCCTCCCGAGTAGCTGGGATTACAGGCACGCACCACCATGCCTGGCTAATTTTGTATTTTTAGTAGAGATGGGGTTTCTCCATGTTGGTCAGGCTGGTCTCGAACTCCTAACTCAGGTGATCTGCCCACCTCGGTATCCCAAAGTGCTGGGATTATAGGCATGAGCCATTGTGCCCAGCCTTTTATCTAAGACTTCTGTACCTTTCCAGCTGTTCTAGTAACTGGGAATTGTGAGTACTTTCTAATTCAGGAGATATCCTTCTGGATTTCAGGTATCAGTACCCCACAATGGATGAGCTGGCCGAAATGCTGCCTCCTGTTCTTACCCACCTAAGGTAGGTTCATTCTGTAGTCTTTCGTGCAGTTTTTATTGACTTTCTATGGTGAATTCTTTAGTGTCTGTTTCAGAGGATACGATGGTTAGGAAAACAATAGTCACTGTCCTTCTAGAGCTTAGTGGGGTAACAAGTAAGCAAACAAATAATAAAGTTTTATAAAATAAGTCAGTGGGGGTGTTGTGATAGAGAATAAGGGCAGGATCTACATTAGTAAGGCTAGTGAGGGAATTCCTCTCTAGGAAGGTGGCACATACGCTGAGACCTAGAAGATTTAGAAATCTACCTTGAGCTGGGCCCAGTGGTGGGAAGATCACTTAACGACAGGAGTTTGAGGCTACAGTGAGTTGTGATCCCACCCCTGCACTCCAGCCTGAGTAACAGTGACACCCTGTATCTAAAAAATAAAAATAAAGCTGTTTAAATTTTTTCTAAAGGGTTCATCTCACTATGAAGAGAATGCTTTGGAGAGGAATCAGAGAGAGAAAGCAGGGAGAACAGTTAAACTTAACAATAGTCCAGGCAAGAGATAATGAAAGCATAGTATTGGATGCTGCTGTTGGGGATGATTGAAGTAGATAGTAGTAGATAGATGGATATATTCTGGAGGTGGACTCCACTGACTTGCTGATGGGTTGGATACTGACAGTAAGCTACCAAGGATAACTCCCAGGTTTCAGTTTTATATATATGTATGTGTGTGTGTGTGTGTGTGTGTGTGTGTGTGTGTGTGTGTGTATAAATATATATATATACACACACTACTTTTTTTTTTTTTGAGATGGAGTCTGATTCTGTTGCCCAGGCTGGAGTGTAGTGGTGTGATGTTGGCTCACTGCAACCTCTGCCTCCCAGGTTCAAACGATTTTCCTGCCTCAGCCTCCCATTTAGCTGGGATTATAGGCGCAGGCCACCATACCTGGCTAATTTTTTTTGTACTTTTAGTAGAGACAGGGTTTCATCATGTTGGCCAGGCTGGTCTTGAACTCCTGACCTTCAGTGATCCACCCGCCTTGGCCTCTCAGTCCTGGGATTATAGGCGTGAACCACCGCCCCCAGCCTTAGTTATATTTTATTTAACCATTAAAACCAACTTGAAAGTAGGTTGTGGGATCGTTGTTGTTGTTGTTTTTGAGACGGAGTCTCACTCTGTCACCAGGTTGGAGTGCAGTGGCGTGCTCTTGGCTCACTGCAGCCTCTGCCTCCCGGGTTCAAACGAATCTCCTGCCTCAGCCTCCTGTTTAGCTGGGACTACAGGCGCACACCACCATGCCTGGCTAATTTTTTGTATTTTAGTAGACGGGGTTTCACCATGTTGGCCAGGATAGTCTTGATCTCCCGACCTCGTGATCCACCTGCCTCAGCCTCCCAAAGTGCTAGGATTACAGGCAGGAGGATTACAGGCATGAACCACTGCACCTAGATGGGATCCTTGTTTTTTTTTTTTTTTTGGAGACGGAGTCTCGCTCTGTCGCCCAGGCTGGAGTGCAGTGGCCGGATCTCAGCTCACTGCAAGCTCTGCCTCCCAGGTTTATGCCATTCTCCTGCCTCAGCCTCCCGAGTAGCTGGGACTACAGGCGCCCGCCACCTCGCCCAGCTAGTTTTTTTTGTATTTTGTAGTAGAGACGGGGTTTCACCATGTTAGCCAGGATGGTCTTGATCTCCTGACCTCGTGATCCGCCCGTCTCGGCCTCCCAAAGTGCTGGGATTACAGGCTTGAGCCACCGCGCCCGGCCGGGATCCTTGTTTTATAGATAGGAAAGGAACCGAGGCTCAGAAAGTTAGGGAAAAAGAAAAAAGCACTTGCCCAAATTCTCACGTCTAGTAAATATCAGAGCCAGGATTTCAACCCAGGTTGTATGCTTTCAATTATGCAGTGCTGCCTCCAAGTGAAATTGACTCTGTCATTTGTCATTATGTCCTATTCACAGCCTGAAAAGCATCGTTGGAATTGGAGTTGGAGCTGGAGCTTACATCCTCAGCAGATTTGCAGTAAGTATATAGAGGATTAGCCTCAACATGCTTGAGGCACTGCCTGGGTCACAGCTATTATGCTGTGTTAAATGACCAGGCAGTATTCTGGGACTTATGTCAATTTTTCTGTAACTTCTGTCAGCTTTAGATGCAGGTTGTATAAAGCCTTGCTTTGTACTTATAATACTTGAAAAATCACAAATGGAGACAGTACGTCATCAATAAAAAGCCATTCCTAGATGCTGCTTATAATGGAATTTTGTACAGCCATTAAAATTAAGTTTGCAAAAAGCTTTATAATGATATATGGTTTGCATACATTATAATGTTGACAAAATGTTAGAATAGAATAGAATATGACAAAACGTAAAGTTTGTCATAACTGTAGGAAAGGACTGGAAGAAAATGTACCAAAAAATAGTCATGGATTGATGTGTGGTAAGATAATGCGAAATTTTATTTTCTGCTTTTTATAATTTCTCTGCTTATCAAATTTTCTACAGTGAATGTAATCACTGTAGTAAGAGAAAAAAAGTAGGGTAGGGGCTGGGCGCAGTGGCCCACGCTTGTAATCCTGGCACTTTGGGAGTTTGACGTGGGCAGATCACCTGAGGTTGGGAGTTCGGACCAGCCTGGCCAACATAGTGAAACCCCATCTCCACTAAAAATACAAAAATGAGCCAGGCGTGGTGACGGGTGCCTGTAATTCTAGCTACTTGGGAGGCTGAGGCAGGAGAATTGCAAGAATCCTGGAAGCCAAGGTTGTAGTGAGCTGAGATTGCATCACTGCACCAGCCTGGGCAGCAAGAGTGAAACTTTGTCTCAAAATAAATAAATTAATTAATTAAATAAGCTAGAGAGCTAGAACTCGTTTTAAAGAAATTTTTTTTTTTTGAGACAGAGTCTTGCTCTGTCACCCAGTCTGGAGTGCAATGGCACAATCTTGGCTCTCTGCAACCTCTGCCTCCCGAATTTAAGTGATTCTCCTGCCTCAGCCTCCTGAGTAGCTGGGATTACTGGCGCCCGCCAATGCTCCTGGCTAATTTTTGTATTTTTAGTAGAGATGGGGTTTCACCATGTTGGTCAGGCTGGTCCCTAACTCCTGACATCATGATCCTCCCCTCTCACCCTCCCAAAGTACTGAGATTACAGGCGCAAGCCACTGTGCCCGGCCAGAAATTATTATCATTATTTTTTTCAATACCTCCTCAGTGATAGGAGAGTCTTCTGAGGATGATATAAACTGTTCACGTGGTTTTGGGGGGAAAAAAAAAAAACAACTTTGGAAGCCCCTGTTGAGAACAAAGATATATGAGTGTGGAGCAGCTGCTTGTGCCAACGACACTTTCCCAATGAGACAGATCCACCATGAGTTGAACAACTGCATATAGATCTTTGCAAGGCAAGATAATTTGATAGTAAAATAAGTAATTTGATAGTAAAACCAGAAACTGGTTTCCAGATGCTAAGTCAGATTTCAAGAGCTATTTTTCCACATGTTCTCCTTCTTTGTAGTTTTACTTTCAAATGTGAGGCATTAAGGCATGTAAGAAAGAATTGATCAATCATGTTCCAACTATTTAGAAGAACTGTGGAAGTGTAGCTTTCATTCTGTCGTCTTTGCCTCATCTTTCAGCTCAACCATCCAGAGCTTGTGGAAGGCCTTGTGCTCATTAATGTTGACCCTTGCGCAAAAGGCTTGATTGACTGGGCAGCTTCCAAAGTAAGTACCACATGAAGGTGTCCATCGGCTCATCCTCGCCCATATCAAAACAGCTTACCAATTTTTCATTGAGGTATATATACAGTTAAGGGTAAAAATGTTAAGTATACAGCTTGAAGACTGTTTACATATAAAATCACCATCCAATCAAGATACTTCAGAATGTTCCCAGCTCACTAGGGGATTCCTTTGTATCTTTTCCTAATTGATACTTCTTCTCCTTCCCAGAAATTACCTGTTCTAACTGTTGCCACCAGAGATAAGTTTTATCTGTTTTTAAGCAGTTTCATCTGTTAAATTGGAATCGTAGCTTTTTTTTTTTTTTTTTTTTTTTTTTTTTTTTTTCTGTTGCCTAGGCTGGAGTGCAGTGGTGCGATCTCAGCTCGTGTTTTGCAGGCGAGTCTCTATACCTAAACTGGAAGTGCAGTATGCGATCTCAGCTCACTGCAGCCTCCGCCTCTTGGTTCGCTTTTTTTTTTTTTTTTTTTTTTTGAGACGGAGTCTCACTCTGTCGGCTAGGCTGGAGTGCAGTGGTGCGATCTCAGCTCACTGCAACCTCCGCCTCTTGGTTCAAGCGATTTCTCTGCCTCATCCTCCCGAGTAGCTGGGACTACAGGTGTGTGCCACCACGCCCAGCTAATTTTTGTATTTTTAGTAGAGATGGGGTTTCACCATTTTGGCCAGGCTGGTCTCAAACTCCTGACCTCGTGATTCGCCCACGTTGGCCTCCCAAAGTGCTGGGATTACAGGCGTGAGTCACTGTGCCCGGCCAAAAATGTATTCTCTGTCTGGTTTCTTTCGTTCATCACGGTGTTTGTGAAACTCATCCAAGTTGTGTGTAGCAGTAGTTCTAAATTACAATTTGGGCCAGGCGCAGTGGCTCATGCCTGTAATCCCAGCACTTTGGGAGGCTGAGGTGGGCGGATCACTTGAGGTCGGGAGTTCGAGACCAGCCTGACCAACATGGAGAAACCCCATCTCTACTAAAAATACAAAAATGAGCCAGGCGTGGTGACGGGTGCCTGTAATCCCAGCTACTCGGGAGGCTGAGGCAGGAGAATCACTTGAACCTACGAGGCGGAGGTTGCAGTGAGTCAAGATCGTGCCACTGTACTCCAAGCCTGGGCAGCAGACAAGACTGTCTCAAAAAAAAAAAGCCAGTTGTGGTGGAACACGTCTGTGGTTCCAGCTACTCGGTAAGCTGAGGTGGGAAGAATGCTTGAACCCAGCAGGTCGAGGCTGTAGTGAGCCATGATCATGCCATTGGACTCCAGCCTGGGTGACAGAGGCAGACCCTGTCTCGAAAAAAAAAAAGAATCTGGCTGGGCATGGTGGCTCATGCCTGTAGTCATAGTACTTTGGGAGGCCAAGGCAGGAGGATCGCTTGAGTCCAGGAGTTTAAGACCAGCCTCGTCAACAGAACAAGACTTTGTCTCTACAAAAATGTAAAAGGTGGTACGTGCTTGTAGTCCCAGCTACTGGGTAGGCTGAAGGGAAAGGATTTCTTGTACCCAGGTGTTCAAGGCTGCAGTGAGCCATGATCATGCTACTGCAGTCCTACCTGGGCGACAGAGAGAGACCTTATCTAAAAAAAAAAAAAAAAAGCTTTATTGATACTCAAACCATGAGATTCAATAAGTCGATATCTAGGAACTTATTTGAAAGGTAGTTAGTGATCTTTAAAAAGATTTAAAGAGGGCAAAGTATGGTGGCTCACGTCTATAATCCCAGCACTTTGGGAGGTGGAGGTGGGCAGATCACCTGAGGTCAGGAGTTCGAGACCAGCCTGACAAACATGGTGAAACCCTGTCTCTACTAAAAATACAAAAATGAGCCGGACGTGGTGGCACACACCTGTATTCCCAGCTACTGGGGAGGCTGAGGGTGGCACACACCTGTATTCCCAGCTACTGGGGAGGCTGAGGCAGGAGAATCACTTGAACTCAGGAGGCAAAGGCTGCAGTGAGCCGAGATTGTACCACTGCACTCCATCCAACCCAAGTGATACACGAGCATTCCTGTCTCAAAAAAACAAACAAACAAAAAAAGGATTTAAAGAGATGGATAATAATTTTTTTTTTTTTTAATGTAACACCCTATATTGTTCTTACTATGTACCCAGGTACTGTTCTTAAATGTCTTTTTTGTTTCTTGTTTTTTGTTTTTTGAGACAGAGTTTCGCTCTTGTTGCCCAGGCTGGAGTGTGCAATGGCATGATCTCAGCTCACTGTACCTCCGTCCCGATTCAAGGGTTCTCTGCCTCAGCCTCCCTGCGAGGCCAGGATTACAGATGCTGCCACCACGCCAGCTAATTTTTGTATTTTTGGGTAGAGACGGGGTTTCACCACGTTAGTCAGGCTGGTCTCCCAACTCCTGACTCCCATGATCTGCCCATCTTAGCCTCCCAAAGTGCTGGGATTACAGGCGTGAGCCCCCGCGCCCAGCCAAATGTTTTAGATATACTTAACCTTTTCATCCTCAGAACAATCCATTGGTACTATTACTATCCTACAGAGAAATTATTTACTTAAAATTACATTGCTAGTAAGGGGGTTGCAGACCCAGATATTCATTAAAGCATTGTTTTAATGCTTTAAAGCATTCATTAAAGTGGGTGGATCACTTGAGGTCAGGAGTTCAAGACCAGCCTGGCCACCTGGCCAACATGGTGAAGCCCATCTCTACTAAAAATACAGAAACGTAGCCAGGTGTGGTGGCGCACACCTGTGGTCCCAGCTACTCGGGAGCTGAGGTTGGAGAACCACTTGAACCTGGGAGGTGAAGGTTGCAGTGAGCCTGGATTGCGCCACTTCACTCCAGCCTGGGTGACAGAACAAGAGAACAAGACCCGGTCTCAAAAAAAAGAAAAAAAGAAAAGAAAAGAAAACAAACAAATGATGTCTTTTGTATTGTTTTTTCGTAATTTTCTGTGATAAGCATATTTTTATTGAAACCGTTAAAATATTCTAGTCACCAGCAAACTGCAATCTAAATATCCATTTCTTCCTATGTTTACATTTTTGAGAAATGAGGTATTTCTTAGCTGAAACACATTAACAGTGCTATTGTCAGATGCTGTGGAAATTCCTTCTCTCAGACTGCCTTATTTAAAATTTGTCCTGGCTGGGTGCAGTGCTTCACACTGCTAATCCTAGCACTTTGGGAGGGTGAGGCAGGAGGATTGCTTGAGCTCAGGAGTTCAAGACTACCCTGGGCAACATAGTGAGACCTTGTCTCTATAAAAAATTTAAAAATTAGCCTGGTGTGGTGGTGCACACCTGTAGTCCCAGCTACTTGGTGGCTGAGGCCAGAAGACACTTGAGCCTGGGAGGTCAAGGCTGCAGTGAGCTATGATGGCGCCACTGCACTCCAGCCTGGGTGACAGAGCAAGACCCTGTCAGTCAATCAACCAAACGTGTCCTAATTCTTACTATGTGGGTACAATTCTTTTTTTTTTTTTTTGAGACGGAGTCTTGCTCTGTTGCCCAGGCTGGAGTGCAGTGGCACAATCTCAGCTTGCTGCAACCTCCACCTCCTGGGTTCAAGTGATTCTCCTGCCTTAGCCTTCCGAGTAGCTGGAACTACAGGCGTGTGCCACCATGCCTGACTAATTTGTATATTTTTAGTAGAGACGGGCTTTCACCATGTTGTTCAGCCTGGTCTCAAACTCCTAACCTCAGGTGATCTGCTGGCCTTGGCCTCCCAAAGTGCTGGGATTACAGGTGTGAGCCACCACGCCCGGCCCGATTTTCTAGTTCATAACCTGTGCATCACTGATAACCTATACAAAGATTTTGGGACTTCTTTCTGGGACTATATGATCCTACTCCAGGCATAGCCATGTCTGTCTCCCTCAGTGCCTCTTCTCCATGCCTACCCCTAATTCAGTACTTCACCCCTGATCAGCAGTACGAGTTCAGCATAAAACCAAGGAAGAAGGCTTAACAGGAATCAGCAACATAATTTGAGTTGGAAATTTTTCTGAAAATAGACTACAGTATGTGGATTTACACAGATTGCTGCATTTATTAGACGATGAGATGCATCATTTTGAAATGGGAAAAATTAGGAGAAAAATGTTTAAAACTCAAGAACATTCTGTAAACAACTCATTTCCTCCTACTTCCTGAAATGAAGATAGCAAAAATGAGAAGAAAGAGAAAAAAATTGTTTTTGTCTCTTGGAAGTCATGGGAGTGATTGTTAGTCCTTATCAACCAGTGTAAATACGGAAATACAGACAGGAATAAAATATCAAACAGCCATGAGGTCTAGGTCTCAGGCTTTCAAAGAAGGAATGTTCAGTGTCTCTTCCAGTCTCCTGTTTCACAGCAGGCTTTATTATAACCCTGGAAAGGAGACAGCTTTTTCTGATTTGTTTCTCATCTCTGTGTTTCTTTGAAACCATGAAAATGTATAACAGTGAATTGTGGGGTTTTTCTCTTTTTTTTGAGACGGAGTCTCACTGTGTTGCCCAGGCTGGAGTGCAGTGGCACAATCTCGGCTCACTGCAAGCTCCGCCTCCCGGGTTCACACCGTTCTCCTGCTTCAGCCTCCAAAGTAGCTGGAACTACAGGCACCTGCCACCACGCCCAGCTAACTTTTTTGTATTTTTAGTAGAGATGGGGTTTCACCATGTTAGCCAGGATGGTCTCGATCTCCTGACCATGGTCCGCCCATCTTAGCCTCCCAAAGTGCTGGGATTACAGGTGTGAGCCACCGTGCCCGGCCAAGGGTTTTTCATTTGTTTTTTAAGAGATAACATATATAATAAAGTGCATTCATTTTAATTGGGTAGCTTGATAAATTTTTGCATATGCTTACATTCTTAACACAGAGTTTTTATCTTTTCAGCTCTCTGGCCTGACAACCAATATTGTGGACATTATTTTGGCTCATCACTTTGGGCGGGTAAGTACCTGTTCCACCCAGAAGAGCTGTGTTTATTGGTTTGCATGCAAATTCTTATTTTACCTCAGGAAAGAAGGGTTACCTTAGAATTTACCTGACCCTAGTAAATAACAGTTCCAATGTAGTCTGAAAGGCATGTGGCCCTGCAAAGGTGAATCTTTAACTCATTGCCACATGACTGTTGACATGTGGAGCTATGAGAGAAGATAGCATCTCCTGCTACCTGTTCCTGTAAGTAGCATGCCATCTGTTAATGTTTGACATCATGTGCCTCCCCAGACATCTTTAGAGCCATTAGGAGGTCTGGGAAAGGCTTCACAGAAATAGACATTTCAGGGGGGAAAACCGTGAAATAATAGTGCTGAAAGAAGCTTAGAGATTATCTTGTTCAAGCCCCGTGTTTTTCAACTGGTGAGGAAAACGAAGTCTTCACAGAAAGTGGCAGTTATCGTGTACATAATTGCTGGGTAGGGGAGGGAGCTTAACTGGTAGGTGAGGGGGACCCTTCAAAGGGAAAAGTGAGTTGGGTGACTGACAAAGGAGTGGTGGAGTAAATGAGCAGTGAGGTCAGAGAACTGTGAGGTGTCTGGAATGAGGAGACGAGCGTGGGTGCTCCATTGTAATCTGCTTAATTTAAAATACTATCTGAAGGAAAATGGCAGATGGGAAGAAAACTGCTAGTTTTTTTCCTTTCTGAGTACTGATTATTTATAAGTACTTTAGATTTGCAAACCAAGTTGCTTTTTACATGGTTCTATTAGTCTGATTTTAAGATAGGGAAACCAAAGACCAGAGAGGCCACATAACTTGCCACCACTGTCTAGATGGTAAGTGTGGAGCTAACATTTGAATCCAGGTCAGGCTAAGTCCGAAGTTCATAGTCTTTTATTTCATCATATTTTTATCAAAGTTACAAATTCACATATATTTTAGAGTAGAGAAGTTCTACAGGGCTTATTACAAAGAATCTGTCACCTATCCCATATTCTGCTTTTTAGTGGCAACCACTTTAATTCTTCCAGCTGACTCCTTTGGGTTTTGCCTCCATCTTGCCCTCTCTTTAATTGAGGTAATTCTTATACATAGTGTAATGCACACATCCTAAGTGCATCTCAGTGACCACTTACTGATGTATAGTTTCTTGTAACTACCACCCAGAACACAAATAAAACATTTTCATCACCCCACAAAGGTTTACTCATTATCCTTTCCCACTCAATAATTCCCCACCCCAAACAAGGTTTTCACTATTCTGTTACCTCCATAGATTAATTTTGACTGTTCTTAAACTTCATATAAATGGAATAACAGAGTGTTTACTTCTCTGAGTCTGGCTTCTTTTGCTCAACATACTATCTTGAGATTCATCCATGTCATTCCATGTGTCAGTAGTTCATTCTTTTTTATTACTGTGTAGCAGCAGTTCATTGTATTAATATACTACAAATTAGGGGTCGGGCGCAGTGGCTCCACATCTGTAATCCAGCACTTTGGGAGGCCGAGGTGGGCAGATCACTTGAGGTCAGGTGTTTGAGACCAGCCTGGCCAACATGGTGAAACTCCGTCTCTACTAAAAATACAAAAATTAGCGGGGCGTGGTGGCATATGCCTATAGTGCCAGCTACCTGGGAGGCTGAGGCAGGTGCCCCATAGTGGGACCCTGTCTTTATAAAAATTCAAAAATTGGCTGGGTGCCATGGCTCATACCTCTAATCCCAGCATTTTGGGAGGCCAAGGCAGGTGGATCACCTGAGGTCAGGAGTTTGAGTTCAGCCTGACCAACATGGAGAAACCCTGCCTCTACTAAAAATACAAAATTAGGCTGGGCATGGTGGCTCACACCTGTAATCCCAGCACTTTGGGAGGCCCAGGCAGGTGGATCACAAGGTCAGGAGTTCAAGACCAGCCTGGCCAACATGGTGAAACCCTACCTCTACTAAAAATACAAAAAAATTAGCCAGGTGTGGTGGCACACGCCTGTAGTACCAGCTACTCGGAAGGCTGAGGCAGGAGAATTGCTTGAACCCAGGAGGCAGAGGTTGCAGTGAGCCGAGATTGCACCATTACACCCCAGCTCTGGGCGACAGAGCAAGACTCCATCTCAGGAAAAACAAACAAACAAAAAATTAGCCTAGTGTGATGGTACATGCCTGTAATCCCAGCTACTCAGGAGGCTGAGGCAGGAGAATTGCTTGAACCCAGGAGGCGAAGGTTGCATTGAGCCAAGATCGTGCCATTGCACTCCAGCATGGGCAACAAGAGCAAAACTCTGTCTCAAAAAAAAATTTTTTTCAAAAATCAGCCGGGCTTAGTAGAACATGCCTGTGGTCCCAGCTACTTGGGAGGCTGTGATGGGAGGATCACTTGAGCCCAGAGTTCGAGACCGGCCTGGGCAACATAGCAAAAAGAAATACTACTTCATATAGGCCTCTGAGGGGAAAGCTAAGGCCAGTATTTAATAATTTCCAAAAAGCAAGAACCTCCTCACTATATATAGAGAGTTATATATATATATATATAGAGAGAGAGAGAGAGAAATATATATATAATATATATATTTTTAGTTTATAACATATATATAAATTAAACATATATATATGTTTAATTTAAAACATATGAGGTCACAGTGGAGTTTCATAAGTCTTATTTTCGTAAGACTGAGGAATTCATTAAAATGTAAGCATCCAGGCTGGTCTGAAGGTAGGGAATTATCTGAATTGATTGTTCACAGTTAGTTACAGATTGAATTCCCTGTTCTACTCCTTCCCCTTTCTCACTGCTGCTCTTGACCAGTCAAAAAGATAATAAAAATTAAAAATAAATTTTAAAACATGTAAGCAAGTTAATGCTTGTATTACTTTGAAATGGAAACAAACATGGTTTTTAAACATGAATAATGTTCAATTCACCAATAAGAGAAATAAATTAAAAATACGTTTGTACTAGCAAGGATGTGGGAAGACAGGTAGTGTAAATAAATGAGATAGCTCTATATATGCGGATAAGGAATGATCTTTACCATACTTTACAAGGGAAAGCAAGTGTAGAACAATGTCTAGAGGACTATAATTTGTGTTTTTAAAAACATGGGAGTCTGTTTATTTGTTTGTTTGTTGAGACAGGGTCTTGCTCTGTTGTTTGGGCTGGAGTGCAGTGGTGCCATCTTAGTTTACTACAGCCTCGACCTCCTAGGCTCAAGCCATCCTCCTCCTTCAGCCTCCTGAGTAGCTAGTATTACAGGCATGTACCACCACACTAAGCTAGTTTTAAAATTTTTTGTTGAGATGGGGGTCTCGCTATGTTAACCCACACTGGTCTCAAACTCCTGGCCTCAAGAGATCCTCCTGCCTCAGCCTCCTAAAGTGCTGGGATTACAGGCATGAGCCACCACACCTGGCCTATCATTTGGTATTAACTTTTCTTATAATATCTTTAGAATGAGACTGGGGCTCTCACAAAGTTTTCTAGTAGTGATTCACGTACCCTTCAGTTTCAGGTAGACTCTTGTCAGTTTCCAACTGTATTCTGGGTTCATTTCATCCACATGGTTGTGAAAATGTGAAGAAAGTTTTCCATATCTCTATTTCTCTAACAAGTCTTGGTCACCAGTAAACTTTACACATTGCCCTGGATTAACAGATTTCTTAATTATCCCTGATATTATTTCTTTCCTCCAATGCAAGAATTTTCCTTTCTGCTTAAAACTGCTTAATGATGTATGTGTGTATGCACACACGTATTTACATGTATGCTTATGTACTCAAGAATCTGGCAACTAGCTCTGATGACATCTGAGAAGGCCAGCAACAGAGTGACCATTAAACAGTGGGTGGTGGAGAGGGAGACTTTTCACTATATAGACCATTTTGTTTCTCTCGTATTTTATACCTTCAAAAGTATTGGTAATAAGATTAAAATAAATGAGCCAGGCACAGTTGAGTGTGCCTGTTGTCTCAGCTCCCCAGGAGGCTGAAGCAGGAGGATCGCTTGAGCCCAGGAGTTCCAAGCTGCAGTACATTATGATAGTGCCTGTGAATCTCCACTGCACTCCAGCCTGAGCAGCATAGTGAGTCCCCATCTCTGAAATAAAATTTGAAAGATTAAAATAAATAATGAATTACTAAATCGATAAAGTGTCATAAACGCAATGGAATATATAATTATACAGTGTATAATATTAAATGGTGGTACATATAGATAGGTAATACGCTGATTATATCATTGAATATATAGATAAGTTAATTGCACAGATTTATGGTTATTAGAAGAAATGCAGCCAGGTGCAGCAGATCACTTGAGGTCAAGAGTTCAAGACCAGTGTGGCCAACATGGTGAGACCCTATCTCTACTAAAAATACAAAAAAATTAGCTGAGCATGGTGGTGCATGTCCCTCATCCCAGCTACTCAGGAGGCTGAGGCAGGAGAATTGCTTGAACCCGGGAAGTGAAGGTTGCAGTGAGCTGAGACTGCACCATTGCTCAGCCTGGGTAACTGAGCAAGACTCTGTCTCATAAAAAAAGAAAAGAAATGTTATGCTCCATTCGTTTTACACTTTGTGGTTTATATGTTTCTATAACTTTTCTTACTTAATCTTTAAAACAGCCTTGTCAGATAGCTGGTTATTGTCTTCATTTTATAGTATCTCCGTTTTTGTGAAGAATTGCAGAACATTAAAAAAACACACAAAGAAATCAGGGTTCAGAGTGATGAGGTGACCCTAAGTTCCACAACTAGTACTTGAATCCTTTGCTGCCCTCATCTGACACAGAATATGGCTCTGAACCAGTCTGATGCAAATCATCAGCCATTCAGCCTACGAGCACATCAGTAGTCCCCAGGCTCTGCCCCAGTTCCCATCATGAGCTGCACGATTTGACTCGTGGTAATGAAAATGCAAACCAAACAAGATGGACTTATTCTGGAGCTCAAAAGCTTGCCCACGTCTTCTTTAAATTGTTCTAGGAAGAGTTACGGGCCAACCGGGACCTGATCCAAACCTACAGAAAGCATATTGCCCAAGACATCAACCAACACAACCTGCGGCTCTTCTTGAACTCCTACAATGGGTATAGTTTTTTCCCATTTCTTCACTTAAATGTAAACAGCTCTAAAAAGAGGAGGGCGGGAGAAGGAGAGAGGACTGTATCTAATATTGGGACGAACTTCTCTGAGGTGAAAATGTGAGCCCCTTCTGGCTTTCTAGAAACATGGACAAAGATTGAGGAAATGGATCAGCTGTAACTTAACCAAAGTTATACAGCCAGTAAGGAGTGAAGCCAGATTTTGAACCTTGTCTCTCTAGCTCTTTCCTCTATATAACAGAGCCTCCCTATTTTTAGTTGAAATCAGAAAGATTAAGCCCTGTGCTAAACTCAGTTACAAGGAAAACACCCCTCCCTCCTCCTCAAAGTGTAAGTCATTCTCTTAAGGAATTTATTCCTGTAAATTAAACACTTAGGGCCGGGCGCGGTGGCTCACGCCTATAATCCCAGCACTTTGGGAGGCCGAGGCAGGCGGATCTCAAGGTCAGGAGTTCAAGACCAGCCAGGCCAACATAGTGAAACCCCATCTCTACAAAAATACAAAAATTAGCCAGGCATAGTGGTGGGCGCCTGTAGTCTCACCTACTTGGGAGGCTGAGGCAGGAGAGTCACTTGAACCCGGGAGGCGGAGATTGCAGTGAGCTGAGATCGCGCCACTGCACTCCAGCCTGCGTGACAGACTGAGACTCTGTCTCAAAAAAATAAATTAATTAAACACTTAGGACTTGAGAGTTTCAGTGGTGTTGCTGTTGAGTGTTGGGGCTATCTCCTTGTAGCATCCCAAAGAGTCCTTCAGGGTTAAGCCAGGAGCCTCCTTCCTGCTCCGTACCAGATGCCACTGAAGTGGCGACTCAAGAACCAAGTCACAGGCCTCTTCCCTTCTCAGGTGTGAAGAAAAGATAGTTTCACCTTCCTTGATAAATTTTGGTGTTTATGACCAGAAAATAACCTGAGTTGCTATGACTTTACCCAAAAAGGGCATTGCTTCTGCTTTGTTTTTCTAGACGCAGAGACCTGAAGATTAAAAGACCCAAACTGGGCCAAAATGATAACCAATCAAAAACTTTAAGGTAAGTTCCTCAGTTTCCTCAGCTGACTTGCCAAATATCTTTGCCTTTCATAGACTAATTTGGTGTTCAGTGGAATTTATGTGCCTATTTGCTGAGTGACACCTCTTACTTTGCCTACCTAGGTGTTCTACGTTACTTGTGGTAGGGGACAATTCGCCTGCAGTTGAGGCTGTGGTAAGTATGTCCTCATGCTGTGAAGATGAATGAGATCAAAATGTAATAAGACGTATAGGCCGGGTGCAGGGGCTCACGCCTGTATTCCCAACACTTTGGGAGGCTGAGGCAGGAAGATCACTTGAGCCCAAGAGTTTGAGATTAGCCTGGGCAACACAGTGGGACCCTAACTCTACAATTTTTTTAAAAAAATTAGCTGGCGTGGCCGGGCGCGGTGGCTCACACCTCTAATCCCAGCACTTTGGGAGGCCAAGGTGGGCGGATTATGAGGTCAGGAGATCGAGACCACCCTGGTTGACACGGTGAAACCCCATCTCTACTAAAAATACAAAAAATTAGCCAGGCATGGTGGCGGGCACCTATAGTCCCAGCTACTCGGGAGGCTAAGGCAGGAGAATGGTGTGAACCCAGGAGGCAGAGCTTGCAGTGAGCCAAGATCGTGCCACTGCACTCCAGCCTGGGCAACAGAGCGAGACTCCATCTCAAAAAATAAAATAAAATAAAAATTAGCTGGCATGGTGACAGCCTGTAGTCCTAGCTACTCTGGAGGCTGAGGTAGGAGGTTTGCTTGAGCTCAGGAGGTCAAGGCTGCAGTGAGCCATGATTGTGCCACTGCACTCCAGCCTGGGTGACAGAGTGAGACCCTGTCTCAAAAAAAAAGTATGTAGCACACTGCTGACACACTAGAAACAGTCGGTAAATACTAGTTTTTGTTCTTTCTGATTGCACATATCAGGGTTTGCTCTTTGTCATACATTTTGGAAAATTAATTCATCATTAGATTTCATTAGATGGGATCAGTTTTTTTCTTGATTGCTTTGTGTTGTGTAGTTCACTTTGTGGCAAGTAGTACAACTAAACACCGTTTACTTATTGTCAGATTTCTGACAGCCTCACCCTTTAATCTGGAATAGATTACCACCATAAATCCAGCAGGCTGGAAGGCCACCTCTGCCTCCTTCTGAAGGACATAGCACATGGATAAAAATGATATATGCTCATTGTAGAAAATATGAAAAAAATTTAAAAATAGAAGGATGAGGGGAAAATCATGATCCTATTACCTAAAGACAGAGTATTATTTTTTGCCTTACGTAGACCTGATTATATTAAATATACAAGATTTGGGGGCCTGACTTAACACTATTGATAGCATTTTTCCATTACAGAATCAGTATCTCTGTAGGTTTACCATTATTTAACTTTGTTCTCATGTTGATTAATTCCGATTTTGCACTATTAATGTTACTGTTGGCCAGGTGCGGTGGCTCACGCCTATAGTCCCAGCACTTTGGGAGGCCGAGGTGGGTGGATCACCTGAGGTCAGGAGTTCAAGACCAGCCTGGGCAACATGGTGAAACCCTGTCTCTACTAAAAATACAAAAAATTAGCTGGGTGTGGTGGCATGCCCCTGTATTCCCAGCTACTTGGGAGGCTGAGACAGGAGAATCGCTCAAACCTGGGAGTCAGAGGCTGCGGTGAGCCAAGATCGCACCACTGCACTCCAGCCTGGGTGAGACAGAGAGACACTCTGTCTCAAAAAAATAAATAAAAATAAAAATAATGATACTGTTGGACATCCTTAGAAAATCTTTGAATCTTTTATTATTTCCTTGGGATGGATTTCCAGAAGTGGGATTAATGTGTCCAAAATTATAAATCTTTACAAAGTCTTTCATACATTTTGCCAGGTTCCTTTCCAGAAATAATACACCAGTATATTGCCACCAGCACTGTATAAGCATGCCTGTTTCACTGCACACTATCTAGCATCGAATCTTTTTTTTTATTAGTAGTTAATTCGATAGGTTAAAAATAGTATCTCACTGTTTTAATTTGCATTTATTTGATTACAAATGAAGTTGATAGTTTTTCATATGTCTTATTATGTGTTTCCTACAGCATATATAACTTAACTAAATATCTCTGTGAAATTACTTGATTTCTTTGCCCTAAATAGAGCAAAATATTATGGAGTAAAGCTTTTTGGAAAGGAAGTCTAACAAATAATCAGAGGTGTAGACATAGTTGAGAAGGTTTGTAGAGTGGGGAAATGTTTGTAGGGTGAGAACATGCAGATGTGAAAGGATACATTCGCATCTCCCTGAACTGTCCTGTAAAACACTCCATGTCTGGTGTGAAATACATGGCATGACTTCCCATAGAGGCCAACAATGCTCAGTTCCCCTTCCTCAAAAAACATTCCCCAGAGGTAAAAAGGTTATAGAGGTGACCCCAATTTATCAAGAAGTAACTTTATAAAGGTCACTGTTTGCTGGCTAAAAAGGTGGAGATACATGCTTCTAAACTATCAAAAACATTTTTAAATGAACATATATACTTAATACAGGAAAATATTTTTAGAAAATATCCTTAATCAGAATTTCCTTATAATGCTAAGTATTTCTGTTTCTGTTCATCTTGTATCTAGTTATTTGCCTTTTTAAAATTGTGTGGACTTAAAGCAACCTTTGCAGTTATTTTTCAAGACTGTATTAATTTGACCATATAGATAAGGGCTCTTCCTCTTTCTGATTTCCACACCTTCAGTGTTTATGAGAATTCTGCAACCCTGTCTATACCACAAGTAGATGCTCTTTCATATGCAGTCAAACCTAGTTCCTCTGCCAGAGCATTTTATCCCACAAGTGTGTAGGGATTAAGAGGAATATCCATGCATTGAAGAGCAAAAAGAAACTCTACAAATTCTAGTCATTGTCAGTAACTATTTTTGCTTACTTATTCATTCAACATCATATTTTGAACATCTCCTATTTACTCTGCTATGAAGAATATGAAAATGAGTAAGACTGAGTGCATTCAGGCAGCCGGGGAGAGAGTAGATGTCAAAAAACAGTGGTTGTGGCTCATGCCTGTAATCCCAGCACTTTGGGAGGCCGAGATGGGCGGATCACCTGAGGTCAGGAGTTCAAGACCAGCCTGGCCAACATGGCAAAACCCTGTCTCTACTAAAAATACAAAAACGAGCTGGGCGTGATGGCACACACCTGTAATCCCAGCTCCTTGGTGGGAGAATTGCTTGAACCCAGGAGGCGGAGGTTTCAGGGAGCTGAGATCGTGCCACTGCACCCCAGCCTGGGTGAGAGAACAAGACTCCATCTCAAAGAAAACAAAACAAAACAACAACAACAAAAACCCACAGTGATTGTGGTTGGTCTACTAGGTATCAAGACTTCTTATATAATGTAGAAATTGCAAAGTAGTGAACCAAGGAAAGCATGATTGATTATATTAAATCCAGATTTGAGAGTTCATTCTTCCAGAAAATATTTATAGTCTATCTACTATATTCTAAGCACCGTACCTAGCAGTTAGGGATCCAGTTTTTAAATTCTACGTTTTAGAGTTAATGCACATTCTGTAGTGAAAGGGTACATTCGTTTGTCACTGTCTGCATTGTCCTTTGTATAGAGCAAATCAAAACTCCGATTTGGTGATCCTGACTTTTATATTTTCCCTGATTTTAGAAGAGTTTTGTATACCCCCCACCCGCAATCCCCAGAGTAAAAGTTCATCTGGATTACTGGGTCTTGCTTAGGTAATTTTAACCACTGCTTGCTGCTACTGCAGTCTATCATGTAGGCCACTGCTCTCCTAAAACAACTCAAATCCTGTCACTTCAGACACCTTCTGTGGCATCCTGCCTTCCACAGTCAGCTCCAGCCTGTGCCCCAGCCTCACCTTCAGTCAACCTCACCTCACACTTGCCTCGGTAGCTGTTGTGTTCCCACCCCTGGGGCTTTGCTTATGCTTTCGCCTTGATTCTGGAAGCCCTCAAGCACTCACCCTTTCCCTTTATCTACCTGTAGAAATCCCACTTCTTTCTGTGTTCACTCAGCTCAGTTGCGAAGCATTTGCAGTGGTTTCATTTTGCTTTGTATTACATATTTCACCCTGCTGGTTCCAGATTCTAAGCACAGGTTTTACATGTATGTTCTTAGCAAACATATAAATGGAGAGATCCAGTTGATCAAAATAGCTGTAAAACAATGCGGAAAGGAGAGATTGTCTCCCCAGAACATTTTCTTTGAGATCTCTGCCTTCATGAACACAAGGGTGCAGGATATCAGACATGTGAATGCACAGGGCCACGATTCTTAATTAAATGACTCCATGAGAGAAAAATGAGAAGAGTTCAACATTGGACTGGATAGCCAAAGACCTTGAGATGGAAAAGAGTGAGGATATAAAGAATGGCAAACCCACTAAGGAAAGAGGTGAAAAGTGAGGCAAGGGAGGTGCCCAGGGCTTAGCCGTTAGAACTAGTTGTGCTCAGAAGACATTAAAGAGATTCCAGCAGGAGAGGACCCATGGTCCAGTCCATTTTTCAAAGAAGTAAGGTAACCTACTTTCATGTTATATAGCTAGTCAGTAGGAAGACTTAGATTCAGCTTGTAGTTTTTTAAAGACACATAACTGATTCAGAAAATTAGATAAGTTAAATTTTTAGATCTGCTCAGAAATATCAAAGTATATCATATAAATATATCTCCCATTATGTATTTTGGTAATCTCTTTGGCTGGTTCAGCCTTCTGCAAACTGAGCTGTTGATCTTGCAAGATCATTCTCATGCCGAGCTATTTCATTTTTTTTCCCAGCAACTCATAAAATTATTTTCTCCTTTTTTTTAAATTTTAGGTTGAATGCAATTCCCGCCTGAACCCTGTAAACGCAACTTTGCTAAAGGTAATGCGTCTTCTTCCCTCACTTCCAACCCTTATATATGCTTTAGATTAATCATTGGAATAATTGCCGAGAAAGAAGCAAAGCTTCCCTCTCTTTGGTTATCTCATTCTCTTCTTTTTTTTTTTTTTTTTTTTGAGACAGACTCTTGCTCTGTCACCCAGGCTGAAGTGCAGTGGCTCGATCTCGGCTCACTGCAACCTCCACCTCCCGGGTTCAAGCGATTCTCCTGCATCAGCCTCCTGAGTAGCTGGGAATACAGGCGCCCACCACCACCCCCAGCTAATTTTTTGTATTTTCAGTAGAGACGAGGTTTCACCGTGTTAGCCAGGATGGTCTCAGTCTCCTGACCTTGTGATCCATCCACCTTGGCCTCCCAAAGTGCTGGGATTACAGGTGTGAGCCACCACGCCCAGCCTTCATTCTCTTTTTGAAATTATGCTTTTGGCCAGGTGCAGTGGCTCATACCTGTAATCTCAGCACTTTGGGAGGCTGAGGCAGGTGGATCATGAGGTCAGGAGTTTGAGACCAGCCTAGCCAATATGGTGAAACCCCATCTCTACTAAAAATACAAAAATTAACCGGGCATGGTGGGACACACCTGTAGTCCCAGCTACCTGGGAGGCTGAGGCAGGAGAATCGCTTGAACCCGGGAGGCAGAGGTTGCAGTGAGCTGAGATCACACCACTGCACTCTAGCCTGGGCAACAGAGCAAGACTCCATCTCAAAAATAAATAAACAAGTAAAATAAAATAAAGCTTTTTTCCTGAATATGTTCTCATTGTAAAACATTGCAAAAAAGAGGAAAGGATATGGAATAAAATAAATTTAAATTATTCGTAATCCTACCACCCAAACCTCTGGTAAAATATTGCTTTTTCCGGCCGGGTGCGGTGGCTCAAGCCTGTAATCCCAGCACTTTGGGAGGCCGAGACGGGTGGATCGCGAGGTCAGGAGATCGAGACCATCCTAGCTAACATGGTGAAACCCCGTCTCTACTAAAAAGACAAAAAACTAGCCGGGCGAGGTGGCGGGTGCCTGTAGTCCCAGCTACTTGGGAGGCTGAGGCAGGAGAATGGCGTAAACTGGGGAGGCGGAGCTTACAGTGAGCTGAGATCCGGCCACTGCACTCCAGCCTGGGCGACAGCACGAGACTCCGTCTCAAAAAAAAAAAAAAATATTGCTTTTTCCTATACATTTTTACATCATTAAAATTAGAGAGGGGCTGGGCACGGTGGCTCATGCCTATAATCCCAACACTTTGGGATGCTGAGGTGGGCGGATCGCTTGAGTCCAGGAGTTTGAGACCAGCCTGGGTGACAGAGTGATACCCTGTCAGAGAGTATTTACAACCCTGTATGTTTTCCTCAACTTTATGACATAGCCTTTCCCATGTAACTAAAAACTTTGGCTGGGCGCAGTGGCTCACACCTATAATCCCAGCGCTTTGGAAGGCAGAGATGGGAGGCCAGGAGTTTGAGAGCAGTCTGGGCAACATAGTGAGACTCTGTCTCTACAAAAACAATCAGAAAATTAGCTGGGCTTGGTGGCACACATCTATAGCCCCAGCTACTCAGGAAGCTGAGGCATGAGGATTCCTTGAGCCCAGGAATTTGAGGATTTGTGCTCCTGACGCTGCACTCCAGCCTAGATGACAGAGTGAAACCCTGTTTCAAAAAAAAGGCCAGGCACGGTGACTCAAGCCTGTAATCCCAGCACTTTGGGAGGCCAAGAGGGGTGGATCACGAGGTCAGGAGATCGAGACCATCCTGGTGAAACCCCATCTCTACTAAAAAATACAAAAAAAAACTAGCCGGGCGAGGTGGCGGGCGCCTGTAGTCCCAGCTATTCGGGAGGCTGAGGCAGGAGAATGGTGTAAACCTGGGAGGCGGAGCTTGCAGTGAGCTGAGATCCGGCCTCTGCACTCCAGCCTGGGCAACAGAGCAAGACTCCGTCTCAAAAAAAAAACAAAAATAAAAAACTTTGTCAACATAATTTAATGTTGTGAGAATTAACATAATGGATGTAAATTCTTTATATGCAAAGTCCTGCTGCTGTATTGGTAAGGAAGCTTTCAGTAACAATTCTCATGATGAGAGTGTATGCATTTTCTTTCTCTTAGGGCAAATACAGACCAACTCTTATGCTAAATATCTAGAGAGAGTATCAAGTGTCTCCCACTTTTGAGTATATAGGAGGCAAGAATTTCTACCTGTTATTGTTTCAACCTAGCTTTTCCTAGAGCCTCTACTAAAGTGTTTAGGTAGCTGACCTTCTAGTTTGTACTTGGACTACTGTAGATTTCAGTGCTGATCATATGTTGCTTACTGCTACATTTTCAGTCTGAAAGACTTCTGCCATCTTCCTTTTCTCTTTGAAGTGTGTTTGAAAGGGAAGTGCTGTTACCAGAAACAGCCTGTAGTTCCTAGAAATCTAATGTGAGGTTAATGCTCTGAGGTGACCACATTCAAAATGTTCTGCCCTCCAGGCAATTGATGGGCTGGTCTAAAAATTTGGGGGAGGGGCCGGGCATGGTGGCTCATGCCTGTAATCCCAACACTTTGGGAGGCTGAGGCCAGGAGTTCAAGACCAGCCTGCCCAACATGATGAAACCTCATCTCTACTAAAAATACAAAAATTAGCCGGGCATGATGCCGGGCGCCTGTAATCCCAGCTACTCTGGAGACTGAGGCAGGAGAATCACTTGAACCTGGGAGGCAGAGGTTGCAGTGAGCTGAGATTGTGCCATTGCACTCCAGCCTGGGCAACAAGAGCGAGACTTTATTTCAAAAAAAAAAAAATTTTTTTTAAGTTTGTAGTTTCAAACTAGTTTCTCACTTCAGGTTTGAATCAATATTCAAAAGCAGAAAACTAAACCCTACAATAACCATAGACATAGTTATTTTTGGGCAAAAATGCCCATCTATAACACCATAGAATAGAGTGGATAACTCCTGTGGCAGATCGAACTGATTCTCAAACCATTTGATAGGTACCCATCTTGGAAATAGTTTCTTCCAGTATTCTCTCTGCATATGGGAACTGTTCTATATTCCTATCAGGTTTCAGCTCCTAAACTTCATGAAAATACAGCCTGTGCTGGTTTGGTTTTTTTGTATATTTGTTAGATTAAATGTTTGTTTATAATCTTATGCTTAGAATTTTCAGAGGCCTCTCCCTTGTTAATCTCAAACTTCTATGTCTTCTGTGGCATTCTCCTCGGTTGTAGTGCCTCCTCATAATAAGTTTTGATGCCAGTGAATTGAAACCATGGGGTTCATGTTCCTTTTTTAAAAAGCCAGTCAGCCTGAATAGGATATCATCTGAGCCCAGAGTGCGTAACAGCTGGAAGAAAGAGCAGGCCTAGGGCCAGCATGCCCTAAAAATGCTTTACTGTGGATAGTAGATTCAAATCATCTGGGAGCTTATTAGAACTGTAAGTTCCTTTTTTTTTTTTTTTTTTTTTTGGAGATGGACTCTCTGTTGCCCAGGTTGGAGTGCAGTGGCATGATTTTGGCTCACTGCAACCTCCGCCTCCTGAGTTCAAGCAATTCTTCTGTGTCAGCCTCCAGAGTAGCTGAGACTACAGGTGTGTGCCACCATGCCTGGCTAATTTTTTGTTTGTTTGTTTTTTTGAGACAGAGTCTCGCTCTGTCACCCAGGCTAGAGTGCAATGGCGTCATCTCGCCTCACTGCAAGCTCCCCCTCCAGGGCTCATGCCATTCTCCTGCCTCAGCCTCCCGAGTAGCTGGGACCACAGGCGCCTGCCACCACACCCGGCTAATTTTTTGTATTTTTAGTAGAGATGGGGTTTCACCGTGTTAGCCAGGATGGTCTCGATCTCCTGACCTCATGATCCACCCGCCTTGGCCTCCCAAAGTGCTGGGATTACAGGCGTGAGCCACCGCGCCCAGCCAATTTTTGTGTTTTTAGTAGAGATGGAGTTTTACCATGTTGGCCAGGCTGGTCTGGAACTCCTGACCTCAAGTGATCCCCCCGCCTCGGCCTCCCAAAGTGCTGGGATTACAGATGTGAGCCACCGCGCCTGGCCAGAAATGCATGATCGTGAACCATACCCCAAACCCATCAAATCAGAATCTCTGGGACAGGAATCCAAGAATCTGAGTTTTAACAAGTCCTTCAGGTAATTCCAGCACACACTAACGAAGCCATATCCTAGAAATCCTTGCACGCATGAGAATAACCAGCTGTAAATGTTTATGAAGTGAAAAGCAGCATTACCAAACCCAGCTATTAGAGGAAAGTAACTGACTGAGCGAGCCGGCTGAATCAGTATCAGCTCTTGATGGCTGAGTGTCCTCACTCATGGAGGAAAGATAATGTAGAGTTGAAATGGGACTTGGAAAGCACGATGCACAGAGAAGTTAGGGTCACACTGTTCGAGGGCTCTGAAAGGAACATTCTTCAGGTGCTTTTCATGGTTGAGAATAGTGGTTAACTTCACTATCACCTCGACAGAAAATTCCCACCATGGGCGTGAAAGTCAGGGCTTCAGTCTTATTGATACATAAGTATGTAATAATGATACCAGATTTTCATCCAAGGTTATAAATGTTTGTATGTAGGTGCATTAAGATGTAAACTTGCAGTTAAACATTAAAACCTAGAATTCGATCTTGTTCCATTTGAAAGGCCTTGGGGTGTTCAGAGCAATTCTCTTAAGGGTCAGTCCCAGCTGACTTGCATATTTTTCCTTTTCTAGATGGCAGACTGTGGGGGACTGCCCCAGGTAGTTCAGGTAAGGAAATTTTTTTTTAAACACCCATTTAATTCTGCCTCTCTGTCTGTGCGAAGATTAATGCCCTCTTGTTTTATCCCCCCAGCCTGGGAAGCTCGCCAAGGACTTCAAGTACTTTTTGCAGGGAATGGGCTACAGTGAGTAGTATACAACTTTCTATCTAGCAACAATTTAGGATTATTGGGGGCCAGTTTCACATCTGGGAGCCCACAATTCCCGAGATATAACCTCTGTGGCAGCTAGCCTTAAGCAAGTAAACTGAAATGGTTATGGAACATTGATTTGTCCATATTTATGAGAAGCTAACACTCAGCACTTACTTTTTTCAGGCACTATATATTCTTTTGTTTTCTGGGTTTTTTTTTTTTTTTTTTTGAGATGGAATGTCACTCGCCAGGCTGGAGTGCAGTGGTGTGATCTTGGCTCACTGCAGCCTCTGCCTTCTGGGTTCAAGCGATTCTCCTGCCTCAGCCTCCCAAGTAGCTGGGACTACAGGCACATGCCACCATGCCTGGCTAATTTTTGTATTTTTAGGAGAGACAGGGTTTCATATGTGTTGGCCGGGTAATCAATCCTCATGCTGATAGCTGGGATTACAGGCACATGCCACCATGCCCGGCTAATTTTTGTATTTTAGGAGAGACAGAGTTTCACCATGTTGTTGGCCAGGATGGTCTTGATCTCTTGACCTCGTGATCTGCCTGCCTCGGCTTCCCAAAGTGCTACTGAGATTACAGGCGTAAGCCACCACGCAGCCTATGTATTCTTTAATCTAAGAGAGTCATTCTATTTATTAGTGCCATTTTATAGAAGAAGAAACTGAGGCTCAGAGAGACTAAGCACAGCTGCCAAGGGTAAATTCAGCTGCAGGGCCATGATTCAAACCCTGGCAGTCTGACTCCAAAGCCCAATTTTGAACCCCTGCAGCTTAGGCTGTCCTAGGTGTGAATCTGAAATTATGATTTGCATTTAAACTCAGCTGGTTAATAACTCCTGACCAAGAGAAATGAAGCGAGACGCAGGAGAAAGGGCAGTATCCTTGGGAAAGTCTTCTCCACTCCAGGATGAACTTGGAGGGAAGTGTTTTAGAGCAAGTCAAGGGTGTGTCCCATACCATATGCCATTGTCTTGGTCTTTTGTGTTTGTAAGACCCCTGAGCTTTCTCATGGTCACAGAATTATCTACACTTGCTCCTTTCTTGGAGTTTTAAGAAAAACTCTTTCACCCAGGTACAGAGCTCCTTGCCCAGTAGGGTGATTTTTCTCCTGTCTTTGGTATTAGTGTGGATAATGTCATTGAGGCTGCCTGGTCAGCTGCTCTGGAGCCCTGGGTGCAGCCCTGTACCTGCCAGGCAGACCATGTATGTCTTGTCTTAAGTGGCTGTGTCATCCTTGCCTGTGAGCCGCTACCAACCGAGCCCACACCCACAGCCTTGTGGCTCACTGGGAGGAGCAGGAGCCCCTCTCCTATCCCATTCTTATCCTTTTCCCTGTAAAATAGCTGATCTTCCAGCCCACTTCTGATCCAAAGCAAGATGACTGTTGCAGCGAGGGGAAAACAATTGCCTTTGTCTAGTTGGGGAAAGTAACATTTGAGATGTTATTGAAGTATCTGTCAGCCTCACCTCCTCTCTGGGAGCTTAAAATAAAACTTTATCCCTGGCTTAGAGTATTCTGTCATGTCCACCAGGCAGCTGAGGTTGCCACTTGGCACTCTCGGATCACTAACCTGCCTTTTCCTGTGTCCATCCTTGCTTTAGTCCCATATGTGCAGCTCAGTCACCTGAGCACCGAGTCAGGTACCTTCCTCTGTACAGCGCCGCCTTGCAATCTCTCTCCTGGCTGCACTGGCTGCCTGCAGCATGTCCGCGGTCTTCCTGTGCAGTGAGACCGATGGGAAGCGTGGCTCAGTACGCTAGAGATTTAGCCTGCAGGTCCAGCCCTGGTCTCTCAGGAGGAAGAAAGGATCTGGTTAGTAGGAGCAGGCCTCCTCTTGTCATCCTAAATCCAGGGTCACAGCAGCAGCTGAAACTTGATAGGCGGTACATCTTCCGCCACCTACTAATCCTTGAATTAACACTCAGACACTTAGAATCCAAGGACAGCCTTGGCTTTCTAAATAGGAGGTCAGAGCCTGTGCCAGAGAACTCCGCAGATGATAGCACCTTCTGACCCCAGCATTGAAAGCACAGCTAGGGGAGTAGCTGCTGCCTAGAGGGAAGTGTGGAACATTATATAAGGTAAACCAGTCCAGCCAAGCAGAGGATACCAAAGTCAACAGTGTGGTTCAAAGTCTGGGTTTTGCTTTTCACCCAGCTCTACTCATACGATTTATTTCATCCTGTTCAGTAGTCAGCTCCAATATTCACCTGCTGTTACATGTCTCATACTCCTCCTAGCATGAAGATGGCTACAGAAATTTTTTTTTGGATTGGCAGTCTGGCAGCATCAAGGCTGCACAGCATTGTCAGAAACACACTTCTTACTTGTGTGTTTTGTCTTTCTTTTCTTTGGTTTAGTGCCCACTTTGCACCTGTAGGTTTGGTTACCTGTTTGCAGGTTCCCAGCCTCCCATTCTATCACTGAAAGGTGTGGGCATAGCTAAGAGGCCATACTCTGGACTTAGGGTTTCCCCTTGTTCTGTGGTGACTACAATCAGCTGAGACCTTAGATCTAAAGTTAAAGTGGCTCACGTGTCACACTCTAGAACAAAATAATACCAAATGGGGATAGCTATATCTTGTCTGGGTGTCATTTTAAATGAGTCGGAAAAGCTAAACATAAAGCCTTTGGTGAGACTCTAGGTTAGCTGAGCTTAACTGGGGCTTCATCTTCTAGTCCCCTTGGTTCTCTGTTACAGTACCATCTGCCAGCATGACTCGGCTCGCCCGATCACGAACCCACTCAACCTCGAGTAGCCTCGGCTCTGGAGAAAGTCCCTTCAGCCGGTCTGTCACCAGCAATCAGTCAGATGGAACTCCAGAATCCTGTGAGTCCCTGATGTGTCCTGGACAGACACCAGACCATGGAGGTGTCCTCCCAAGCAGTCTCCTCCCTGGACAAAATTGCAAGTCCATCCTTCTTCAAATGACCACTCAATAATATAACATTTCATCCATGTAAACTGGCCTCTACTATCTTTAACTCATGCATGGCCACTGAACCTCTCTCTAGTAGCCTGGATTTATCATTCTCTCTGCCTGCCCACCCCCTTTTTTGTATAGCCCAAGAACCACTTCCATGCCATACTGTAACATTCCAACATCTTTAGCTGATCAGATCTCTCCATATCCTCTCTTGCCAGCTTTTTCCCGTGCTCCCCCAACTATGTATCGGATAAGATTCTTTGATCCCAACTCTGTGTGTGTGCGCGAGAGCACGTGTCTCTGTTTGTGTGTGCATAGTTCTGTGGTTTTGTTCTGCTTTCTTGTAGTGCTTACAAACAAAGGACTTATTTTCCATTCTCAATGGTGTTTTTAAGGGGAATTAGGCAGAATAGATTTCTAGGTTGGGTAGGCCACTCGTTCTCTTTGTTTCGACAATTCAACAAAATTTGCAGATGATTTCTGGAGAAGAGAGCAGCTCTGAGGAATGTGGAAAATCATAATTGCCATCTGGACCACTGATTGATTGTGAGCAATAGTGAGAAAGTGCCTATTACATGAGACTCCTTCTGTCCAAATGAATTTCTGTATACTCTTCTATAAATAAAAGGGGAGAATATATTCTGCTGGAAGCCATGAACCATCGGTGAGGTTCCGATACAACATAGAGTTTTTTCCAAGGAGTGAATGTGGCTTAATTACTGGACTCTCTTAGCACAGGAAGGTGGAAACAAAATGCCAGGCCTCTGCTCTGAAGAGCAAAACTGCTGTCGCTGCAGTATCTGATACTGGACATCCACATATCCACAAGAAGTGCCTCTTAGGTCTATGATGGAGAGTGTCTCCATTCCTCAGTTCCCAGAGAGGGGAGAGGTATGGCCTAAAAAGCATGTAGATGGTGGAGAAATGGGTGGGGAGAGAGGAACAACCATTAACATAGTATCATGTTTAATAAGTATGGCCTTGATTTCAGTAGATGTAATGGAAGCCAAATTAAATTGATACAGAACCCATTTCTCAGAATCTATCTTTTTTTTTTTTTTTTTTTTTTTTGGAGACAGAGTCTCGTTCTGTCACCCAGGCTGGAGTGCAATGGCGCAAACTTGGCTCACCCTCTGCCCCCTGGGTTCAAGCGATTCTCCTGCCTCAGCCTCCCGAGTAGCTAGGACTACAGGCACCTGCCACCACGCCCAGCTAAGTTACGTATTTTTAGTAGAGATGGAATATCACCATGTTGGCCAGGCTGGTCTGGAACTCCTGACCTCAAGTGATCTGCCCGCCTCAGCCTCCCAAAGTGCTGGGATTATAGGCATGAGTCATTTTGCCCAGCCATCAGAAAGATTGTTAATCCTATGAACTCCCTTTGTAGGAGGAAAGGGAGCCACTCTGTAGGGGAGCAGCCCTGTCCAGGTAAAGAGTTGTTTCAGCCTCCTGTCTACTGTTAAGTGAGGAAGTCACAGCAAGACAGAGAGTATTGCTGGAGGTGAGGAGCTGTGGAGACCTGACTGCCACATAGCAAATTAGCTCTTGGGGTGAATCATAGCTCAGGGTTACACAGTTCCAAATCTTGGGAAGGCTTTTCAGACACACTGTTTGCTTTCTGCTGAGATAAGGAATGCATATCTGCAGAGTATGACTTTACAGATTATTAAAAATAGAAGCTGTATATGTCTCATTGTTACCTGATTGCTGGTGGTATTTCTTTCAAGCCATTCACTGGGGTTCAGGGTGGGACGAGTTGCTGTATGCTTTAGTTCTGTGTGGCATTTTCACATATATGTGATTGTATCCACCAAGCAACACTGTCCATTTATGAAATGAAGCCTGATGATAAATCATTTACCCAAGTCTATGCAACCAATAACTCTAGCCAGGATCAAATCCTAGAATTATGCAGAATTCTATCTGATGTGTCTATATTTCCCTGAAGCCAAAATCATTAGAAGCCTGACAGTATTGTTTGTGATGGAGAAGCTGAGGTCTTGAGAAGGTGGTCACGTCACAGCTCCTACCACCTTTGTGGGATTGCTGGGTCTCACTTCTCAAGGTAATAATCTGCAACTACATATCTGGTTCCTCTAAGGGCAGCCTGTGTTTCTCAGAAATAGCTATATTTGTACCACATCAGAAACCTAAATTTCAGACCGGGTGCAGGGGCTCACACCTGTAATCCCAGCACTCTGGGAGGCTGAGGTGGGCGGATCACCTGAGGACAGGAGTTAAAGACCAGCCAGGCCAACATGGTGAAGCCCTGTTTCTACTAAAAATACAAAAATTAGCCGGACATGGTGGTGCGTGCCTGTAATCCCAGCTACTTGGAAGGCTGAGGCAGGAGAATCACTTGAACCTAGGAGCTGGAGGTTGCCGTGAGCTAAGACCACACCACTGCACTCCTGGCTGGGCTACAGAGCCGGAACTGTGTCTCAAAAAAAAAAAAGCCAGGTGTGGTGGCTCACACCTGTAATCCCAACACTTTGGGAGGCCGAGGCAGGCAGATCACTTGAGGTCAGGAGTTCAAGACCAGCCTGACCAATATGATGAAACCCCATCTCTACTAAAAGTACAAAAAAAAAAAAAAAAATTAGCTGAGCATGGTAGCATGTGCCTGTAATCCCATCTACTTGGGAGGCTGAGGCAGGAGAATCACTTGAACCCAGGAGGTGGAGGTTGCAGTGAGCCAAGATTGCACCATCTCACTCCAGCCTGGGCAACAAGAGTGAGACTCCGTCTCAAAAAAATAATAATAATAATTTCAGGAGACCACCATCTCAGATGAGTTTTCAAATGACCAGGGAGGCAAGTGCCAGCAAAAGTACATGTGGTTGCTACATCTCTGCGAGAGGCATTCATAAAAAATGACATGGACCGCAGGAGTGCAGTGGCAAGCTACGCCAGTAATCCCAGCACTTGGGAGGCTGAGGTGGGCAAATCACGAGGTCAGGAGGTCGAGACCATCCTGGCTAATACAGTGAAACCCCATCTCTACTAAAAATACAAAAATTAGTCGGCGTGGTGGCGGGCACCTGTAGTCCCAGCTTACTTGGGAGGCTGAGGCAGGAGAATGGCGTGAACCCAGGAGGCAGAGCTTGCAGACAGCAGAGATAGCACCACTGCACTCCAGCCTGGGCAGCAGAGCAAGACTGTCTCAAAAAAAAAAGAAAAAAAAATGACATGGACCCTGCCGTTCTTGCAGAGGAGTTGAAACAAATGTATGTGAACAGATCAAGATTACCAAGCTGAAGTCTTACAATGCAGGCCAGTGGTCCACAGAATGCTGACATGGGAAGGAATTGATCTGATGGCCTTAGTTGCCCTTTTTTTTGTTTTTGTTTTGTTATGTTTCATTTTGACATGAAGTCACGCTCTATCGCCCAGGCTGGACTGCAGTGGCCGCGATATCTACTCACTGCAACCTCTGCCTCCTAGGTTCAAGCAATTCTCCTGTCTCAGCCTCCCGAGTCCTGGGACTACAGGCATGTGCTACCACATCCAGCTAATTTTTTGTAGAGATGGGGTTTCGCCATGTTGACCATGCTGGTCTGGAACTCCTGACTTTTAGTGATCTGCCCGCCTCAGCCTCCCAAAGTGCTGAGATTACAGGCATGAGCTACTGCACTGGGACTTTTTTTTTTTTTTTTTAAACAGTATCTTGCTTTGTCACCCAAGCTGGATGGCAGTGGTATAATCATAGCTCACTGCAGCCTCAAACTCCTGGGCTCAAGCCATCCTCCCACTTCAGCCTCTTGAGTAACAGAGACTACAGGCATGCACCACCATGCCTAGCTAATTTTTTCTTTTTGTAGAGACAGGGTATCACTTTGTTGCCTGGGCTGGACTTGAACTCCTGACCTCAAGTGATCTTCTGCTAGCCTCCCAAAATGCTAAGGATTACAGGTGTAGGAATCAGCCCTTTATTGAGCATCTATATATAGGCCAGGCCCTTAATGCCTTCCTATAAATTTCCTTCTTTTGATCCAGTGAGATACATGCTGGCCCATTTTTATGGATGCAGAAGCGGGTCCAGAGATAACTAGTTTGTAAATGGTCTAAAAACTAGTAAGTGGCTGTATAGAAGCAGTTTCCTCCACTACACTCCAACAATTCCAACACTTCTGTGACCAAATGTATGAGCTTTTTTCCCATACCAACCAATTCTCCAACACCCCAGACACGGAGTAGGTGTCTTAAATTATATTGGCTTCCTGGAGTTAGCACATTCCCTACAGGTTAAGGGTTCAGGCCCACAAGACCTGCTTCAGATGCCAGTTGCAAGCAATTGGATCCCAGATTATTCATGCTTCTGTCCACCCTGGCTACAAATTGGACCCCTCTCTCAGGTTTGATAGTTTGCTAGGATGGCTCAGAACTCAGAAACACTGAATTGACTTGTTTATTATTCAAAAGGATATGAGGCTGGATGCGGTGGCTCACACCAGTAATACTAGCACTTTGGGAGGAGGAGGATCATTTGAATCCGGGAGTTCAAGACCAGCCTGGGCAATATAGTGATCCTTAAGGTCAGGAGATCCAAAACCATCCTGGCTAACATGGTGAAACCATTTCTACTAAAAATACAAAAATTAGCTGGGCATGGTGGCAGGCACCTGTAGTCCCAGCTACTCGGGAGGCCGAGGCAGGAGAATGGCGTGAACCCGGGAGGCGGAGCTTGCAGTGAGCCAAGATCGTGCCACTGCACTCCAGCCTGGGTGACAGAGCAAGACTCCATCTCAAAAAAAAAAAAAAAAAAAAACAGCATACAATAAAGGATACAACAAGTAAATAGCCAGATAAAGAAGTAGATAGGGCTGGGTGTGGTGGCTCACACCTGTAATCCAGCAGTGGGGAGGCCACAAGGCAGGTGGATCGCAAGATCAGAGTTTGAGGC